AACCCCCCTCCCCTTGAGATCAGCGGGTCGATTTCTGCCGCGACCGCTGTGGTCATGACCGGGGCCCCATGGCCCCGACCGCGGGCCGCGGTCATGCCCGTTGTGACCGCGGCCGCTGGGGATACATAGTCCTCCGCCTTCTGGGCATATGTTGGTCGTGCGGTGGCAAGTGCGAGTAAGCAGATGGGTCATATGCCCTTGAACTGCGAGCCGTGGTGTGGCCTGCCTGGTGGGCTCTGTACTGCTTCACCGATGACTTGCTCTTCGCCTGCTGTCCGTCCATGCTGACGTCCTTCTTCGCAGACCGCCTCTTGTGTGTAAGTGCAGTCACCCTGCCTAGAATGCACACAACATAGGATTCGTGAAAACCTAACAAAACAAATTGTTAGGTTTGCACGAAATCTATTCAAGATTATGATAGTACGTTTTTCAGATCTCCTCCAGGAACAAAATTCTACGCGAAGTGAAACATTCGCAAAAAAAAGAATAGAAAATTACGTTTTCAGAACCACTGGAAGAGGAGAGGAAAAAAACGGGTTTTTCCATAGAAAATCACGACCTGGTGAAACACCGTATGTTCAAGAACTGAAATATCCTGATTTTTTGTTATCCAAAAAAATTGTGTTTATAGTCAGTCCTATAAGATGTGTAGCACGATGAACTTATTCAGGGTTTTTTCGAACGCACAAACATATTTTTCTGTTGGTGAATAAGTTCGCTTGAACATGGTTTCCCATACATGGGCAAATATATTATTTTTTATTGTTTGTTTTAATTCTTTTCTCCATATTTTTATTTTAAACTCGTGTTTGGCTAAGAATTTCAAGATGTCTCCGAGACAAAAGTTGTTTGTATTCTTATTTTAAATGACATATATTTTTTGATAAGGGTTTTATCGCTAAGTTCAAAAGTGATTTATAGTCCTATAAATTATTTTGTACAGAGCTTGACTTTTACCTAACTGCGGAAATTGACTTATAGTCCTATAAATGAGTATTCACCAAAACACCTTTTTTTTTCACATCTTTCAAGTTTGCATTGTCATCCTTAAAAATTATCTTGTTTGAACTATGTTTTTTTGCCAATCTACTGAGAATGACTTATAGTCCTATAAAATGATTTTGCAAGGAAGAATTTTCTTGCACATTTTGAGGAATGCTAGACTTTTCACCTGATTTTTTGCCTCCTTGATCGAAAAACGATTAAAAACGCTATCTTTTTGTGTAAAAAATAACAGTTTGATTTTTACTTTTTCATTTTATAAGAAATGTTAGGTTTTCTACGATTATGAGGTTTTCACGAATCCTCTGTTACACGTGGAAGGCGATGACAAGGACAACCAAAATGATGACAAGGAGCATCAGCGGCAGCCTTCGAAAGACGTCGGCCATAAACGACACGTGGGGAAGGGCAGTAACTACCCGACGACGACACACCTCAAGCAAACGGCGATAAAGAGGGCAACAAACGGCAGACGGCAACGTCCGACAAACATCCTCTAATCATTTTACATCATGGAGTTTAGTGGGTAATTGAAAGGCGTGTCGGCTAAGATTTTCGAATTCGCTTACGTTGGACCCTTTATGCTTCGCGGCACGCACTGCGAGAGAGAACAACGCTTGAGGACGATCGTGGAGGCGGACCGGTCTCCAATGGTTACTGTTGGTGTAAGGTTCCTTGAAGGCGAACGTTGACGACCGAAGATGTCCATGCGGTGGCCGGTAGGGACTCCAATGACCCAACCCACAAAAAATGTTGTGTCGACAATACTTGTCGTCGCCGCTCTGATTAACGCGGATCCTTGACCTCCGAGGGACCTCGGGAGGTCCCTTAGGGATCGCCACCAAATGTCTGTAGCCGAAGGATGCCCCGAGCCCCGAGGAAATGTTTGCACATTTGTTTTCCAGTTTTCATCCCCGAGGATAGGTGGAACAATAATTTCCTCTGGGGATTTACGTGCCCGAGGATAGGTGTTGCCTTGCGCTTTGTTGCTCTGCTGCCTTGCTGCTCATCCGCTGGTCGTGTCTTCCGTGTTTGCCACCTGTGTGCCTTGTAGGTTGGTTGCCTTGTTGCTGATGCCTTGTGTGGCTGCCTTGGTTGTGTTGTCTTGTCCTTCGCTACACGGTTGCCGTGTTGCATGTCCTGCGTGCCATGTCATTCCTTGCAGTCGTTTTTGGCGTTGTGCAACTGTGTTGCCTCTACTGTGTTGCCTGGTGCTCCACAGGGTTGCTGCCCGTTGCTATGTTTCGCTTGGGGATAGTCTGCCTTCAATAAGGGTCAAAGGGTTCATGACCCCAACTATCAAATACGGAGATTCCGCAGATTGTCGAGGGTTCAGCCTCCTGGTGAGTTAGTGTGACTCCGACAAAACAATTTATCATCAGTTTTTTTTTCTTCCCGCTTTGTGTTTTTTGTTTTTTGTTCTTTTGTCTGCCTTGTTGTCTTGTAACCTTGCTGCTTTTCGACTTCCAGTCCGTTCTTTTCTTGTTTAGTGTTGTTTTCCTGTCCACCCACCTCCCCCATGCTCTCCAGCCTGCCCGCCTGCCTCCCCCATACCCTCTACCCTTTGTTCTTTGTTGCGGCTTGTCCTCCAAGTGCCGTGTTGTGTCTTGACCTTTGCCTTGCCATTTTGTTTGCCTTCTTACTCTTCCCTTGCCATTGGTTGCCTTGGGTATGTTTTCTGTGTTTTTTCATGGCTTTTGAAAGCTGGACACTATAAGCATTCTTCTTCTATATGGGCATCTCGGGCTGCGGGCTCTTTCCCTGTGTTGTTTATAAGCACACCTTCCAACGCAACATGCTGCGGCACGGTCGCAGAAGCCACGCAATACAAACAAACACACACACATACATACACATATAAAACCTTGGTAATTGGTTGCTAGACTCGTCCGACATGTGAACAACTTTGTCAATGTGCTTAGTGGTGCATGAATTGACCTGGCAGACCATTGACACTATGGTGATTGGCCGATGGACTCGTTAACACAGCATCCACCACTGATTGGTCCATCGCGCCCGTGTATGGTCCACCATCGATCAATGCGCCTGTAACTCATAGTTTGGATGAGCTGATTTTTTTCTTTTGAGGTACGCACGTTCATGTCACACTTGCATATCGAATGAGGAAAAGAATCAATCACGCGCAGGCCAAGGGGCTTGCTAGATACTCATCGGTCCATCCTCGGGGCCGAGGGGTTTTCCCTTGGGTCACCGGAGAGATTTGTCGCCGTCATTACACTCATCCTTGGGAGGATCGCCCGAAGACGCCCGAGGATGGCCCGCGGGCAGTTTCATTATCTAATTACCGACCAGGGGGGGGGGGGGGGGGGGGGAGTGGCTGGGTGCCGTGGGCGGTGGTCCATGGCTTGTTGTCCGTGTGGACCGGTGTGGTCTAGCTCCGGGGGGCAGGAAAATTCAAATCTTGCTAGCGGCCTTTGAAAAAAAAAGCAAAAAAACGCATGGGCATCCCGCTTAGAAAATCAAATTCCGAATAACGCTGTTGCCGTGAAGGCGGACTGGCTTTGTGGCTGCGGCAGGTGGTGGATGGTGTTCGAAGGGAAGATCTGACGACTGCCAAACGACGGGGTCGGCGTGGGTGTGTGGAGAGCTATAATGACCGTACGTTGTATTTGTGTGTTACGATCCTGGCCAATTTTAAAGTCCACAATCATCAGAAAGTACAATGTTGTCCAATTGCGAAAAAAAATGAATGAACTTGAGCCCAATGCCATCCAATTGCAAGAGAAATGAAAGAACTTGAGAGGAGAGAGAGGGAAAGAAGAAGAAAAAGAAGTAAGAAATAAGAAAGAGATGATGTACTCCAGCATAGACCAAAGACAAAGCTCTTCTTCTTCGCTCAACAACCTCCTCCTCTTTATCTCCTCCTCTCTTATTCAAACAATAAATAAACAATAATAATGTTGAACAGCTGAACCAGAATCAATGTCCGAATCCCACTTCTACTGCAGGCATAAGATGAGGTCCACCATAGCCATGGCAGCCCTTCTTCTTCCTCCACATACAGGCCGAGGCTATGGCGGACAACCGAGGCTTCAGCCTCCGGTACCAAAGACAACCCCCAAGCAGCTACACCGCTACCCACTTCGAGGTCATCACCCAGCAGCTATGCCGCTGCCCACTCAACCGCCATTCCTGACTCTGTCCGAGCTTCCTTCATGCGGCACTACCCCCACTGGGGCCTTCTTGATGCAGCGCCTAGCAAGGAGATGAAGATGGTGTCTACCATAGCCAGTAAGTACCTCGCCACTCTCCTCCTTGGTCCCCTTCTCCCTCCTCCTCCTACCAGTAGAGCTCCACCATAGGCAAGGTGGAAGCTCCTGGCTTCTTCCTCCCAGCAGCGCTGTAGTGCCCAACGCTTCACCACCTAGCGCTCCAGCAGCGTGACGCCCAACTCGCACCTTGAAGAATGAGGCGGAGCTCTTGCCTCCGCCTCTAGATATAGCGGCCTGCTTGCCTCTTGGGCAGTGACTTCCAGGCCGCTCGGCCTCTCCAAGCAACCGGTACCTCCTCCGTTTCGGAGGGAAACATCATTGCAGACCCTGATATTACCCGTACAGGCTCTAGACTCAGACTGGTTGGACTGGTAYMRGCYTAGACCTACCCTAMYGCTACTGGACTCTAAAAATGCCAACTTTGTCTTTTTCTGCTCGGCCTCCAGTACCCCTCACATCAACTGTAGTGGGGTGCAGTATCGGCCTACCGGCCTACTTGAGTGTTTTTCCGCTACCCCAAGGGCCTCAGGGCCGCTAGCTTCGCCACTTGAGTGTTTTCCTTGCTACAACCCTCAATGCCACGGCCACAGGTAAGTACCGGCCCTACGGGTCCTACACGCACTCATACCAACAAGCACTCAGACAGGCATGCAGGTCACAAGCACGCACACATACAGACAGACTTAGAAAACACAGCAGAATGCGGGAATCTCATCAAGGCATCCATTCCATCGGCAAAGCTTCATAAATCAGCAGTGTTATCAGTCTGTGTTATGACGGGTCATTACACTACCCCCCCCTCAAGAGTGAGGTCCCTTCGAGCGAGTAACTCAATCAGAGTCCTTGCATAGTGCATCATAGGCGTAGATAGCAAAGAGAGATCGGGCATGTTCCGTAGGAGTCAGGGTAGCAGTAAACTTTGGTTGCTGTTCAACACTTATCAATCGTTCATAGGCATTAACGACACGCGGTGCACTCTGCAGTAAGTCTTTCCTAGCAATCCAATAGAAATCGTCCAACGGATGGTACAGAAAATCAACTTTGTACTGTCTGTTTCTTCCCTTCCCACTGTGTTCGACAATCCTATCAACCTCATGGCCGCCATTGATTGCGCGGGGAATCATTGACTCTCGGTACTTGAACGTTTCAGGTGGTTCATATGGAAACAATTTTGACACATGAAAAACTGGGTATGTGCGCAAATGTGCAGGCACATCAATCGTGTAGGAAGGACCGAAGGAATCACTCCCTACCTGGTTCAAGACCTGCCACAGACCGTAGTACTGAGGAAGAAGCTTTCGTGAGACACCTTCTTCTTCAGAAAACTCAGACATTTTGACCCAGACATAACTTCCCACTGTGAATGGTGCAGGCTGACGCTTCTTGTTAGCATGTTTAATCATGGCACTGCGTCGCCTCTCCATAACTGCGACATCAACTTTAAGTAGGCGATCAAACTTGGCGCTGTAGCTTGGCTGGCCAGGTGGCTGATCAGGAAACAGATAGGATAGAGGATTGCGGATTTTCCATCCAAGATGTAGCCGGTTAGGCGTCATCCCGGTGGAGGAGTGGATGGAGTTGTTGTACAACCCCTGCACAATCGGCAACTCCTCATCCCAAGAGTTCTGATAAGGTACAATTAGAGCCCAGAGAAGCTGGATCACGGTCTGGTTGATTTCCTCAGCCAGTCCATTGGCTTCGGGGTGTCGCCCTGACGTCGTCTTGAGTTTCATGTCATAGGTCTGGGAGGTGAAATCTTTCCAGTCTCCGCTTATGAACTAGGTGTCCCGATCACTCACGAGAGTTTTCGGGGATCCATAATGTAGCACGTACCTTTTGTTAAACTCATCGATCACAAGGTCAGTTGGGGCGTGAGGTGGCAAGGGAATCAGATTTAGAAATTTCGAAAACCGATCAACGATCACCATCACTTGCGAATAACCGTTTCTGCTCTTCTTCCCCATGTCCGTGAAGTCAATGGAAACAGACTCACCCGGGCCATCAGGGATAGGAAGAGGGTGCAGCAGGCCATAGGGCTTCTGCCGGAACGGTTTAATGTGCTGACAAACTTCACACTCAACCACAAACCTTTGTGCCATTTTTTTCATGCAGGCCACACAAACCTTTCCAACAGATTCCCGTATGTCTTCTCAACACCGAAGTTTCTACTCCGGCCATGAGCCAAATCTAAGAAGTGAGCGATGATTGGCTCATGGTTGGGTACACACAACCGGGTCATGCTTACCGTAGCGTCGGAAGAGAAGACCCTTACATTCATGGAAATCAGGCTGACTACTAGGCTCAGCCCGAATCTGCTCAAGGATGGGACTGAGTTCCGGATCCTTGGCAGTGTGCTAAATGAGTTCCTTCTGTAAGTCCTTGCGAAGATCGTCGCAAGGAACCCACTAGGCAAGTCATGTACTCAGGGTGGCGAGACAAAGTATCCGCAACACGATTATAGCAGCCTTTCTTGTGTTTTAGTTCAAAATCATACACATCAATCTCATGCAGCCAGTGGGTCAGCATAGTCGATGGGTTTATCTGTGTCTGAATCCACTTCAAAGTCTCATGATCCGAGAACACTTTGAAATGGCGACCCAAGAGGTAGTGTTTCCAATGGTCTAGTGCCTCTCTCAAGGCATAGAGCTCTCTCATGTAAGTGGAGGCAGCTACCTTGTGGCTGGGCATGCGTTTGCTGTAGTATTCCAGCGGACGTAAACCATCACCATTATCTTGCTGCAGCACTGCACCAATCCGATACAAACTCGCATCCGTAGTTACTACGAATGTAAGCTTGGGATCTGCAATGCAGAGCACCGGATGACTCACCAAAGCCTCTTTCAATGCTTCAAAGGCTGTCGTGCATTCTTCATTCCATGCGTAGGACACATTCTTGCTTGTTAGTCTAAACAATGGACGGGCAATGATAGAAAATTTAGGCACAAACTTACGGTAGTACGACGCAAGACCAAAAAAAGAACGCAACTCGTGGACATTCGCAGGTTGGGGCCACTTTTGGATGACCTCAACCTTCGTTGCCTCGGGCTCTAGGCCTGCAACAGACAACCGATGTCCAAGGTAGATGATGCTGTCCCTCCCAAACTCAGATTTCTCCAAGTTGAGATGGAGCTGCGCGTCCTTGAGGATTTGCATCACTTCCTCAAGGTGTCTCATGTGCTCCTCCATCGATTTGCTTAAGATCAGTATGTCATCCAGATAAACAACAACAAACCGGTTAATCTGATGGCGGAACACTTTGTCCATGAGACTTTGAAAGGTGGCTGGCGCATTCGTGAGACCGAAGGGCATGACGGTAAACTCGTACAACCCGTCGCGAGTTTTGAATGCGGTTTTGTGGTGGTCCGCAGGATCAACTTCGATCTGGTGGTAGCCAGACATGAGATCGATCTTGCTGAAGACTTTGCACCCACCTGCAGCATCAAGCAAATCATCGATACGTGACAAATGATATGCATTCTTTCTCGTGATCCGATTCAACCCGCGATAGTTCATACACATCCGCAACTTACCTCATTTCTTAGGGACAACCAGCACCGGTGCACCAAACTCCGACTCACTCGGCTTGATCCATCCCTTCCCAATCATTTCATCATTCTGCCTTCGCAACTCCTCCAATTTGCCTGAGCCCATTCGATAGACACAACCCTTTGGAGGAGTGCTACCTTCAATCAACTCGATCCTGTGTCGGACCGGACGCACGGGGACTCCATGCGGTTCGGCCAAGACGTCAGGAAATCGGTTGAGAAGGTTGCGAATTTCCGGTGGGATTTCCGGAGGGGGATCATCACTCTCAGGAGCAAGCATGTCAGTTTGTATAGGTGCAGCCAAAACAACAGGATTAGAAGTAGAGTCATTTGGACTAGAGATGGACTTAGTAGAGGTAGAAGTAGTTGCATCCGAGGTGAACACAGCATGCAGAGTAGAATCACTATGTACAACAAAAATAGAAGGCACATGAGCAGGCCTAACAAAGGCTATATACATTTGCTCATCAGTTTTGCGCCTGCGCCACTTTTTGCAGAATTGCATTGCATTGAGAAAGGTCACCTGTAACTCGCGCGGCTCATCCAAGAGGATGGGACGCTCGATCCCCATGGCATCTTTGACCATGAATTGTGAGTCCTTCCACGTGGTTCTTTCACATTGGGCCTGCAACCAGCCCAAGCCAATAACCCCGTCGAAAGGGCACTGATCAAGGACATAGAAGTTCAATTCATGCGTGATTGTGCGATCAGCGTCAAAGGTAGTGCGCACACCTTTGACTGCATGCGTGGAAGTGACAACCTCTTAGTTGCCTACTTGGGTCCGACAAGGATTCTGCAAAGTCACTTGCTTCATCCCCAGGCGTGCCTTACGAATGCCGTGCGGTGAGAAGTAGTTGGCCGTTGCACCACAATCAGCCAACGCACGGATGTAACGGCCATTAATGTAGAGTTTGAAAAAGATCAACTTCGTCCTCCCTTGCGCGCATTTTTGCTTTCATGTGAGCCCAGCGCGTCAATAGAGCATGAAAGTCAATCTCTTCCGACTCTACCCAAGGCTCCTTGTATAGGATGTGTAACTTTTCAGCCTTGGAATAAGCATCAGATGGGGTTTCAGGAGAGGTTTGCTGAGTGGGATCAAAATCCAAGGAAGAATCTGTACTTACATGTTCAGCCCCTCCATCCGTAGAGTGTGCTAATGATGCCTCTACCCCCATTGCTGGTATCCCTGCTGCAATCTGAAACAGTGTTGGACTGAATGTCCCGGTTTGGTGCAATGCAGACAAACTCCTCTCTTCACCCTATTCTTCCACTCACTTTCACTAATCCGGAGATCTACCCATGATTTTGTGGCAGGATCTTCCGGTTTTGGTAGAATTTTTGCTCCTTTGGGAAGAAGGATAGTGTTAGTGTTGTTCTTCATTGCGGTCCTCGGTTCCTTGCTTTTAAAGGCAGTCTTCTTAAAGACATTCATGGATTCCTCATCATTCACCAACTCAGATTCGTGGGCTGACGCAGAGCATGATGCCTCACAGCCTTGCTCTTGATCGTCATCAAGAGAAGGGTTGTCTGCGAGGATCTCCTTATCATCCTCTAGCAGATCTTGTGCTGCTAAACGGTTGCTGCCAGAAAACCGTTTGCGGCCAAGGGCTCTTTTGCCACTCGATCCACCTGGGAGGTCTTGTGCCTTTAGCTTGACTAGATCCTGCATGAAGGAAAACCAATCTGTATATTCCGCGAGTTTGAGGCCCAGGCGACGAATTTCAGCGAAGGGGACCGTTGCTTTTATCACATCCAAGCAAGACTGTGCAGTCATTTCCAAATTGGGAGTAGCAAAGAGCTTACTGACATACTGCTGCAGACTTTGCATGGTGCCAGTCCACTTGCTGTGCTTGAGTTTATCAAGCTTAAGTCTTACTTTCGCTGCAGCATGTGGATTGGCATACTGTTGAATCAAGAGATCCTCAAGTGTGGCTACAGGCGTAGCCTTCAGCCATTTGTTCAGGTCTATACGTTTATAGCCTGCTTGTACAAGTTGGATTTCTAGAAATCCTCTCATGGCGGGTTCCACATTGGTCCCAAGGACTGACGACTGAGTGACTGGGGGTGTCACCAACACATCAAAGTAGGACCGCATGGTGCTGATCCATGACTCGACGTCGTTTTTTCCGTTGTACTTGGACGGAATCTGTGCCGCCTTCCTGCCGAGGTAAGAAAAGCTGCTGCCCGGCCCAGCCAGTGCTGGGTTTGGGCCCGGGGCTGCAACAGTTCCATAAGTCCCTGCACCACGACTTGCCGCTGCAGCAGCAGCAGCGGGGTCTGGACTTGCTGCAGATCCGCTTTGGCTGTTAACCACACTCAAAGAAGAAGAAGAAGTACAAGGAGAAGAAGTAGACGTATTCAGAGGGGCAAAACTGGACTGACACGCAGCATTGGAGGCAGGGTAGGTGAGGAAAGAGACGATTTGAGCCTGCTGCGAACTAGCAAACTGTTGCAGCTGATCGCGGTGCTGCTGCGCCATCCTGGCCATGTCTTCGTGCAACTCCTTGAGCTGCTTAAACACCTGTGCGAGTTGGCCAATATGGTCCTCAACAACCCGGACCCCTGCTAAGGCTCTGAGGATGGGAACCGTTTTCTCTTCTACCTCCTCATCAGTCAGAGCGGACACGGTGCTAAGGACGACCTCATGAGCCTGCACCTTATCCCTTCTCTCTCTCTCTTTCTCTTCCTCCTCCCTCTTCAAGGCTTTCTCGTAGAAGAACTGATACTGCAGTTTTTCTGCCTCAAGGGGAGTGTCCATCTGCAGTTTCCAATCTGCTGCAGATGCCATGATGGAGGATGAGGGTGTCAGTAAGACTCTCAAGAGGGGTCCAGAGAGAGAGAGAGCCGGCCATTCCTGAATACAGCCCCGATTTTTTGCTGCGTCCTCGGATATGGCGCTGCTGCCCCTGATTTTGCCCTGAGTCCGGGGCAGATTCATTCAGCAATGGCCC